CAAGTAAGCTCACCTCTGTACATATTGAGAATATCATACATTTGCCTCTCAATCTTATAATTACTACCGTAACTAACAGAGTATATCTGCAGGTTAGAAATGCTTTGCTAAAGCTACCTATGAGAACAAACACGCGTCAGTTGAGAGCATAGTCATGGCCAGTCGATGAGATTCAATGCTACCTCGTATCGTAGCAGAAATTCGTGAAAGTAATCATAATCCTCACGATCATGATTTTATTGTTTGCGTCGAAACTTTGTACCGAATGAAGCAAGCGGTCTGATTTGTCAAATTCGGCGAACCGATTCTGATCAGGCCACTGGAATAGTTTCTGCACAGACCGTTTTAAGCGATTCAAAAAATGATGCCAGAGCTCGGCATGAAGCTAGCAGTTCGATCATTGCTGCTCATGTCTCTTTACACCATTGTTTACTCATCGTGTGGCACTGAGTTCTACAGTTTGTGACTACAAGATTCCCTCAGTCACGACTATCAAATTATTGAATTTACAAATCACAAGGCTTTACTTCCAAACGCAGCGTGCGTACAAATGGCAACAATTGCCTACTCGAGATATCATAGTCTTCATATCTACACCAAAATCTCCTCCCAACGCTGACTGGTCCTTTAATACGCTTCCAGATTCTTTGTTCATCCTCGGGGATCAATCTGGATTGTTCTGTTGGCCACAATTCGGGTACAAGGCGCGCCCTTGTCAAACGACATGTGGAAGGCAAGCGCTTCTTCTATTTTTCAGCCCACGTTTCCGGTCATTTGAGGGAAACGAGACGAGAACTTGCCCTTTTGTTCGCTTCACATCTAGGTGACGTGCGGGGGTTTACATCCAATTGCCTCTGCTCGATGTAGTCAGTCGTTGCTGACCGTCTCAACGTATTTTCTACGCTATTTTGCCATTCTCTGCAGTTGAGAGCGCGTCAACACACCATGATCGTGACACGAAAATTCTTCTATGGCTGAGATTTTCTGCTCACAGGCAGATGGCACAAATGAGTAATCAGTTTATGCATGTGTGTGAACTTTATATACATTAAATTGGATATTGAATTCAAAACTCAGTATGATTTTATTTTGCGCTAAATGACTTCTTTTTATCGTCAACTCAGCCCTGTGAGCCATTTGAAATTTCAGCCGTAGAAGACGGCACACTATGATTTTGCAGTGGTTAAATTTCAAAAGGAGCCTAATGTCCATCAATCTGTAAGCTTAAAGACTCTCAAAATTACCTTATTATTTACAGTCAGAATTGTTGACTAGCACAAGATTAATGCCTAGATCTTTAAACAGCGGATGAGGAATTTGGAAGCTCACTGTTACTTGAAGCAAGTGAAAGTTTCCGAAGAAAGCTTCCAAAAGAAACTAGTTTCTAAACTCTTTCAGGTGCTTACCAATATCTCAACCATCGCAGTATGTAACAATAGTTTTGTAACAACTAGCAAAGCATATGACGCACGTGAGAGATAAATTGCATATAACCCACAAAATAGAACTTAAGTTGATTAAAGACAACTTGCTGGATGGAATAACTC